TGAACTGCCCAAATGTCTCTTTAAAGAGACAAGTAAATCCTAAAGACATCTCACAGCCCATGTTGTCAGCTTGGAAAACTTCTGCAGAAGTTAAGGGGAAGGAGTATTTTCCTGTGGCTGCAGATGAGAACTGTCACTTTGCCATCGCTGCTGTGACCTCAGATTTCCAAGGAGCACGTGGTGCTCCCCCAGGAGCAGTGGGTCTCTGCCAGCACAGCAACACCCTCCCACTCCTTCTCCTGGGTGCTGGTGGCATGGAAGCCCATGTGGAGGACCTCACTGCCCTCTCCAAGGAGGCGGGCGGACATGAGATCCTCTCAGAAGAGGAACAGCATTGTCCTGCAGCAGCTGGCTCTCTGGTAGTGGACAGGACACACTTCCCTCCACCGTCTGCCCACCACTTCCCAGCATCTCAAAGCCACAGTCTCTTGTCAAGGTCTATGCAACCTCATCGGAACCACAGGCAGGAGCCACTTCCCAGCTTCACTGGCTCCGTTTAGCTCCATGTGTCACTTTGTTATTTGGACTAAATAAAGCAAAGCTGTCTTCTTGCAAAGAGGCGGAGCCAGTATTCCTGGTACCCTACCAAGAAAAGTCTCCACTGACAACAGCACTTGCCTTTTTGGAAGGAGTGAGTTCAGAACTGGGTGCAGTTTAAACAGTGAGTGACTCTGGCTCAGATGAGAGAGCTGAACAAACGTTATAAAAGTTTGATCAAAAGTAAAAGAAATCACCCAAACTGGAGCTTAAAGTTACTGTCTTCTTCACAGCCTTTCTTGTACATCTAAAGCAAGTTGCTTGTTTCAGTTCTAAAAAAAACATCAGATTTTGAAGGGGATTTTTTGTTATGTGGTAGTTTTTGGAGTGCTGTTATCATACATTTTTTCTGTTTTGTGAGGGTCTGTTTGTTCCCTTCATCTCGTTTATGAAAGTTTAAAATCCCTGTGACTGACAGGTGCTGAACAAACCCAGCAAAAGCTGGGGATTGTTGTTCCACTTTGCTCTCTTATAGCCTAGCAGTAACGTTTGTCTTTGCCTGCTTAAATGCAAAATGCTGGTCAGGTGTGTGACATTATCTCATTTGTCTAACAGGTAAGCTGCAAGGTGCTGCAGTTCTTTCATCAGTACATGTTGGGCTGCAACTACTTCTGGATGCTCTGTGAAGGCATTTATCTTCACACGTTGATTGTGGTAGCAGTGTTTGCTGAAGAGCAGCGCTTGCACTGGTATTACCTCTTGGGCTGGGGTATGTATGTTATAATTTGTAGCAAGATGGTCAATTCTTTCAGATGTTTGAATTCTTCTAGCACTTATCACGACAACTGAATTGTTGTATTTATACCACCAGATCATAGCTTAAGATTGAGTTCTTGGGTCCTAAATATAAGTGCCTTTATTTGGATGGGCCTAGAGACTAACAAAAATCAGCAGGAGTCAGTATCTGTATCCATTATTTACTGCATTTTGGGATTTGCTGAAAGAAATGCTTAAGTTTTGTTAAGCAAAGCTTTGGAAGAGAAATAGATTTCTCTCCAAACACATCTCTTTTCTGAACAAAAGTTGTCTATTTTTGTCACTTTATATGCAAAAATACTAATCTGTGACAGTACCTATAAAAGTATATTTTTTCTGGAATGAAGAAGAGGAAAAATCAGTATCTATGTCTCCCAAAGTGAAAAAACACAGCATGCAGAAAGAGGAACCAGAATTTCTCTGGAAGTGAATCCAGTATCAGATATATTTTGGCAGCTGTTGTTTTAAAGGACAAGATTCAATTTTACCTCCACAGGAGTAGATAATGGCTCTGCTGTCAGGGCTGATTTTGTCCAACAACAGTGATCTCTGAAGTATTTCAGAGAAACACACAGGTGTCAATAAGCAAATCTCAATGATATTCTGTGAGAGAGGTTACAAACCCTTACACTATGGATGCAAACTGTATGTAGTTGCATGTATATTGCCCAAGGAACCATGACTAGGTCTGGTCCTTCATCTCCAAATATGCAGATCCCTTCTGTTTTTACTAAGGGATCCCTTGCCTTTTAATTAGTAGCAACAGCAAGTTTTTATCCTTTGGACTGTCTGGTCCAATAAAAGGCCATATAAATACAACCAATGCATTACAGTGCAGTGCGGTCTCTTTCACATTTAAATGACTATTGTAAATCCAGTCCACATCAGTGTTGACTGGAAATCATTATCAAGAGCTTTTGCCCACTTTGGGAACCATGAATCTCTGGCCTCGTTCCAGTTTCTGGCAAGCCAGTCCCCATATCTTGAAACCACTGGTGCAGCTAAGCAGCAAATGACGGACCTTTATCCATCGTCCTGCTGTACTTAGGGATGTTCACTTGTATTCATCTCTTGCAATCCCAGTCTGAAGCAGATAGAATTTACTCTGTATTTTCCATCCTCTTTGGAGATGTTATACTTGTTCAACATGATTTCATTTACAGCAGCAAAATAAAAAATAGCCCTACTGCTTAAACATAGAAAAATTAGGAATGAATTAGACCAGAGAAAAACGGCCCAGTTCTAAATGTTCTGAAGAACTTTAAAACTCTGCTTCAACTAGTAGTTAGGCATCCAATATCAGGTCCTAAAAAGGCAGTAACAGCAAATTGGAAAGTTGTTCTTCCCCTATTTGGAGTTTCATTTAAGAACCTGGTAACTTACTTTCTTCTTATGGTGTAAGACTTAGTGCTCTCTGGATACCTACTTTAGATACCTAGCAAATTAGCATGATTTTCTAGTTTATATGGATTGTAGTGCCAGATAACAGTTTCCAGGTACGTAAGAACTCATCTTCGTTTTTTGTTTGTTTGTTTTAATGAGAATGCCATCATGCATCCTTTTTTTTCTTATGAGAATGGCATCTTTTCTGAGAAGAGAGGGACCTGTCATGCTCTTGGAATTAAAAGTATGTGGATCCTCAGCTCTTAAATGAAGACAACCTTCCTGAAGAACCCTAAATTGAGTCAAGGCTTCTGGACTTTGTCAATCCAAATAGCTGAGCCCTTGTGGAGCAAGCAACTGGGCTATCACAAAGTTTTCATAGTTCAGAATATTTGAATATACAAAGTCTGATAGGACTCTGCTTTTGAAATGGCAGCCCTATGTGAAGAGTCATTTTAAATGTTTCCTTTCAGATAAAGCTTTTTCCATTTTCATGTCTTGCAGCATAAGGCTTCCCAAAATAGTGTCATTCCATATCCAATTATGCAAGAGGAAAATTGTCATAAACGTATTTTTTTCAGCTGATATTCAATTTAGGCAATGCAGTTTATTGCAACTGGGACACCTAGCCTGCAGTGAAAGCTTATGAGCTAGCTGTAATATTGCTGAGAACAGCACTAGCAGTCATGGTGGGTAATTCAGTGAAGTTATCTGATAAGATACTCATCAGTATCTGCAGCACTGCCCAAGAGATAAATAGGGTGGTGGCTGTGATAATAGGATGATGATATCTTGAGGCAGAAAAGGTTAATAAAAATGGACACAACTCTTGACTATGAAGTCTGCAGCATTTTTAATGAAACTAGATGAATACTTCCACAAAAAAAAGTAATCATTAGCACCTCCTAACTAAGGTAGAAATCATTAATAGCAAAATGATCTAATTAGAACTATCTGGCCACCCCTTAAATTTGCATAAATCAGTGTAATTCCACTGATTCCAGAAGCAGTAGTCACACAGTCTAACTTTAAACATCCAGCTATGTTAATCAATGGAGAGAGATACATTTCTCCAAAGGGCAATGCAGAGCAACCAGAGCAGGTTGTGCTCTGAATTACAATTCAAAAGATCAAGGTAAATGTACAGGGTAAAAAGATGAAGTTACTCATTATTGATTGTTATAACTAATTCCTCTGCAAGAAGATCTAGATTATTTTATTTGGAAAAATCACTAATGACATTTGTAAAATAGCTTTATAAGAAAAATAAAAATCTGAGCAAATATAAAACACTTCTACAAAAGGTTTGAGATGATTGAATGGAATCTGACATGGACAGATGTATTTCAAGGCTGGTGCCTTCAGGTGACCCCTTCTCTGGGAACTGCTGCTGGGGATATCATTTCTCATTTGTTATTGTTTCACTGGGTCAGGAAATCATGCTTATGCAGGGCAAGAAAACAGTATCAAATGTGTGCATCCAGCTACAGTCCACTCTATCTGGCTGCTTCAGGCAGCTTCATCCACGTTAAAGTGAAAAGCGAATCATTTATTTGGACAGTGCTGCAACAGAGTGCCTTTCAAATTCAACTGGAAATACAATTAAGCATAATTGCCAGTTTGTGCCATAAAGGACCTGGCATGACCTAAAGGGATATGTCATACCTTTTCCTGGGATGGCTGGGGTAAGACCTTTTTTAGGTTACTCACTGCTTACCACGTGTTGATGGGACCCCTGGAATGACACATGTTGTGCCACCAAGACCCAACAGACCTTGGTGCTCCAGTTCTCATTAACTCTCTGCCTTTTGGCCCTTTGCAAGAAAAGAGCAACACCTAGCCCTAGAAGAGCCCATCCAGCCTGCAGCTGGAAATCTGAGCCATAGACTGTCATGAGCTTCTTACCCTGTAACTGACTAATGAAAACTTTCCGTTGCGTTCTTAAGATTTGCTTGTGAGTTTGTTGAGCCAAATATTCTAGGCTAATGCATTTAGCAGAAGAAACAAGGTCCCTTGGCATCATATGGAGCGCTCTACTCGTGATACTCCAGGCCAGAGCTTTCAGTTGAAGATTTTTTCTATTACAGAAAGGTCCCTTAAAAATTGCACTTCAGTCTGTCTGTCAACAAAACTGGCCCAGACTTACTCCATTTCCAAATAAAAAGAATTTTCTCAAACTGTCAATCCCATAAGCTCACCCTGAGGTTGGAAGCTCCTTTCTTTCTTTTCTGAGCTTTTTGTTGTTTTACCGTGCATCATCACCCAGAAAAGGTATTCTGCAGCCAGAGGCCAAGTAATCATTTTCTAACAATATATAAAGGAGAACGCAATCCAGTTTGTTCTCCCACAGCTGCATGTCCTCCCAAGGTAAACTGCAGTAAGACCTTTTTTTGATAGTAGAGTAAGTAGCTGTTGCTTAAAGATACCTGGAGACACCAGAGTGTCCTACTTACATACTTCTTTGACTTTATTCTCACTCCAGCATTGGCTGGCCTGTGCTCTGAGGTGACACTTGCCCAGAATTTGGCTAAGGATTCTCTGTCTCTTCTAAAACTGTTTATGAAATCTAGTGATTTGCTTCTCCTTTTGGCCTTCCTTGAGCATTATTCCCTTTTGCGTCTCGCCATCGAGGTAATGCTAGGGCCCTGCGTGCAACAGGATTGCAGTTCTTTCCTGAAAGCCGTGATTTCACATATGTATGTTTTGTGGACAAGAGGCTTATTAGTGTGTGTGACACATGAAATTCAAGCTAAAGAAATACCAAGACTGATCTATAACTTTAATGATTTCAGGGTTCCCTTTAGTGCCAGCATCTATTCATGCTGTTGCAAGAGCCAGATACTTCAATGACAAGTGAGTAGCATGTCTGTTTTTGAAGGAACTTAGCATTATTTAACTGTGTAACACATTTTGAGTTAATAATAAATTTTAATGGTGTATTTCCCCTCCAGCTGCTGGATGAGTGTTGACACGCACTTGCTCTATATTGTTCATGGACCTGTAATGGCAGCTTTATTGGTAAGACTATTATTTGCTATCAGTAGTTTAATAATTATTTTAGAAATGCTGCTAACCTGTACAGAATAAAACTTTCTGTACTTTAAGTATTTTATTCAAAACTCAGAAGTAGCTAGGGTTTTCTCTACTCAGTGTTACAGTGTCTCAATACTTTTCAAAAACAAGTCCTGTAAAGGGACCTCCCAGTAAAGCATCAGATTTTGAGGCAAACAGAATCACTAACTGCTTTTGAAAATCAGGGTGGTCACTCTCTCCCAGCGTGACTTATTTGTGACCAATGTACTGCATTTATGTGACATCAATGAGGCATTTAGCTATGCCTTAGCTGGCGTGAGCTGAGTGCAGGCTGGTTGCTCAGTACGAGTTTTACTGGTCACTGAACTGGTATGGTCCAAAGGTAGGGAGCTAAACTAGCCCAGGGAACAGACTGGGCTGGGCTGTCTGGGTAGAAAGACAAGATTCAAAGTGCAGCTTGGCAAGGTATGTATATGTATATATAGCATCTTGTATGCCAGTGGTGCTGTTTGGCACAGTAACCCTGACCTTCCTGAAAGGTGCAGAAAGGGTTTTATTCGACCCAAAGCCCCAAGCTCACCTCAGTGTGTCACCCAAGATGCACTTTCAGCTTTTGAGCTACCTTTTGCTTGCAAACATCTGCATAGACATACCTGCAGTAATTACCTTGGAGATCAAACAGTAGGGCAGTGAATACTGGGAACACCTTTCAATAAAGAAACAACTTTGTGTCTAATAGCTGAAAAAACTGAAAAACTTTCTACCCTTTCTTGAGAAGCAGTCTTGCACGTCAGCAATGTGAAGAAGCCCATTCCTCCCCGCTATATATACAGTCTGCTGTTCCCATAGAATCACATCCATTGTGGGTTTACTGGTTCAATCTTGATTGCTTCTGCTGTTGTAATGCCAACTAGCTTCTAGGAGAGGCCATTCAACCTTTCTTTTTATCGCCATGCTCCAAGTCTGTACATCTTAGCTACAAAGAAAAAAGGAGGGACTGTTTTTTATGGAAAAAGAGCAATCTTTAACTGTTTTCAAAAGAAGGCATTATAATTTCTGGCTTGTGCTTATGCCATTTCCATTATTTTTTTTGCGAAGATGTCAATGTCTACAGAATGTACTGCACGATTTGCTACAAAAATCCCATAGTGACAGACTGACTCAGAAGAGCTGAGGTTTTTTACCTTTGTAAAGTCTTTTTTCCACTTTTCACAGTTACTTCCAGAAATTGTAAAAGTGAAGGTTACGCAGAGTGAGTGAAGTCAGAGTAGGGTGGAGAATAAGGTTTAGATTTAACGCTGAATGGGACCTCAGAAGTCATTTATTATTCCTTTTTTTCCAGTAGAGCACAAATGTAAAACAGTTGAAAGGTCTCGCAGTATTTAAGAAGTGATGAAATGCTTTACCAAAGCTTACTGATTCATGATCTATTGTTGTGAAAGATTCAGCTGAAATTTCTCATATATCTATGGGATTTGGGCTATTAAAATATCTATGTAAGTTATGCAGCTTACATACTTATTTTAAAAAAATAATCTGAAAAAAAGTCTATTGAAGTTCTGAAGCATAGGTGCCTGATATTACTGTAACAGAATGGAAAACAGCGATCTGGTTATACTGGAGAGAGAGAAGGTCTGTGATACCCAGGATGTCCACAGGGTGCCCACTGGGCTCATTATCAGCCTGGGTCTGCCCTGCCTTTTCCTCCGCAGGCTCTCAGCACATCCCGCAAGGAGCTCTTTGTGAAGCCAGGGTCAAGAGCAGGTTTCCGTATGCTGAGCACCCACAGCTAGAATCAGATTTCCAGAAATTACTGAGGAGATGAGACACTGAGGTACTTGGCATCACTGACCATAAGGGTCAGGGGCAAAACTTTCTGAAGTGTCTGTCATTTCTGCCCTGAGCCAGTAAGTGTTAACTTTTACCTGTGGGTAGTGTACCACGGGGCTCCATGCAGTCTGGTGGAGGCAAGGGGTAGCCTAGGTTTTTCGCAAGAGCAGCCTTGCCCCCCTGCTCATACAGAAGCCTGAAGTATTGGCCCATGTAAGTTGGAGCACATTCCTCAGAAATTGTGTGCCCCCATAGGTCCCATACGCCCAGGGACACGCTGGGGTTTGTCTCACCCGGCTGCAGACATCTTCAGTGTGACCTTTAGACTCAGAAGAGAGACATGGTTACTCCTAGGGGACAATTTGTCCATCCCATTTAAAGTTTAGACATTAAAATGAGATTAATTGTTCCCTGGAAATCCTAAATTTGCCCACATCAGTGTCAAAACAGCCAGTGCTTCCTAGAACTGATCCCTGCCTGCCTGAAATATCCATGCAGGCTTCCTAAGGGGAGCATGTAGAGCAGCTTTACATCTCTTTTCTGAAGACATTCAAGGTACTTTCCAAGGCCTGACTCCCAAGGAGCTGCCCATTATGAGCTACAATTAAGCTAGAAAGTTAGGGTTTACTGCCATTTATGTGCTCTGTATTTTTATTTTGAATGTCTGTTTAATTTGAATGCTTTCACTTATGGCTTTGCTTTTGCAGGTCAATTTTTTCTTTTTGCTTAACATTGTCCGAGTTTTGGTGACAAAGCTAAGAGATACCCACCGTGCGGAGTCCAACATGTATATGAAAGCTGTCAGAGCCACTTTAATCCTGGTGCCCTTACTAGGAATTCAGTTTGTTATTATTCCCTGGAGACCAGAAAACCGACTTGCTGGAGAAATATACGATTACATCATGCATATATTAATGCATTACCAGGTATGTTATATAGTAACAACTTCAGCTTAAGTGAGGTGCTTGATGTTAAGTTAATTTAGACAAAGATGCTGTTGCCAGTTGTTTTGCCCTAAAATTGAGCACGACCGTGGTTTTGCAGTTCTTTTCCAACCACTTTCACATTATTGGATTATCTGCCTTTGCACAAATAGCACCGCTGCATAAAGGACAACCACAAGATAGGGGAAACCATGAAAAACGTAGCAAAAATGATCAAATGGCACTATTTCTAAACTGAGGAGAGAAAACTGAGATCACACCGGGCTTTTATGTTCCAACACAATTTCCGTTCAACTGAAACGGGTGCTGTGAGGTTAATATTAAAATTAGCTGCGTATGCAAACTCTTGTACAGACAGAATGCCGACACACAGAAGAAAAGACTGAGACAATGAAGCTTCATTTAGGAGTTAAAATTCCATTATTAGGCAGTTTAAATTAAAATATGACTGACATTTTGATTCCATAACTGCTTTGAAAATACAAGACCATTCAGTAAGCCTGGCTTGTTTTCTTTTAGAAATGACTTTAAATGCGTGGTTATATCTGGTTTACTGACTGTAATATATCCAGTCCTATATTGACTAGGAAAGGCAGATTTCTAATGCATTTGTGAATAGTAGTCAACATGGGTGAGTACAGTGACCCACTTCTTGTTTCCTTTCATACGGAAGCTAAATGCAGAAATTATTTGAATGTTGTAGTAAGAAAACAGCTTTAAAAAAATCAGTGATGCTTTTTCCTTAGATGAAGTGATAAATAATGCTACCAAAATCTATGCATCCTGTCATCTTACATTTTCTGCTTCTCTCTCTTATCCCTTCGAAACTGTGGATGTGCATCATACTGCATGCATAGAATAACTGAAGTTATAGGTCTATTTTTGCAGTGTATGCCATCTTATATTACAGTTCTGCTTTAAAGGAATGAGAGTCTGTTTCTTCTGTTGTTACCTGTATTGTCACTTCTTCGGTCTCAAGGGCTATAAAGGAATATCTCCAAATAAGTTTTCTGGTGACAAGTTGCTTACAGTTTTAGCAAGCTAGGATAAGACAGAGTGTTACAATAATCATTTTACTCTTAAAACATCTTTCAAATCCTGTGAGGTTGTCAGAGAATTACAAAAAGAATGTTAATTATCTTAATTAATGATCCTAATTATGATCATTATACAATAGAAAGTCACCAAACCAAGGTTAAAATGGAACCAGAAACAAAACCAAAGTATCATGAAACTGTTGTACTGATGGATGGGATTAGGTGAGGGAGGGATCCAAGGAGGCAAAGTTTCATCTCCAATGGGTTCCTTCTGCCCTTGTCCCAGTCACCGGGAATGGGTGTCTCTTTGTGGCTTTTTTTCCCCCACATTTTGCTCTGTTTCAGCAGTGGGGACAGTGCTGGGGACACTGGTGTGGGCACATGGTGGGGGCTGCCCATGCCCCACTGCCGCTGTGCCCAGAGAGGCCACCAGGCATGCCAAGAGGTGAGAGCCCACCCAGGGCTGTCCCCGAGCCAGGGCAGCCAATTTGCAGACCTCACAGAAGAGCTCTTGACACCTCTGCAGTATAATCTCAGTGTGCTTCCCGCCAGCATGTAAAATTTGGCCTTTCAGGAGGGCTGTGCGGTTGTCCTGCTACTGTGACGCTCCCTTTTCTACTTCGAGCAGATTTTTAATTGTATTCTAAAATAAATTTTCTTAATCCTTTCCGAAACATTTCTTGTATGCATATTTAAGATAGCCAGCTATATAATCACTCCTCTGGTGCTCATTTTCTTCTAGGACTGATTATGTAATTAGCAGATATTGTATTAGCTTTGCTAACAGCTATATTTCCCCGCTAGCTATTGTGCTCTCACAAACGGCAACGCAGCCTGCCTCTCCATAAACTAGCAGCAGTCTATTAGTTTTTGCATCCTGTGGCATGTCAGTCATATACAAGCAGGCATCATGGGTGCAATTATGATTTTTTTTTTTGGTGGAAAACATAATACATTCTCCATTTCTGCACTGGTTAAACGATTAATTTTTTATGCCTTTTCTAGAACAGAAAGAGAGACAGTTTTTCAACAGCACATCACTGCTTTAAGTGAGCACGGTGGTTTGATATATTAGTTACATCGTCCACGTACACAGAAATGGTGCAAACAAGCACTGCAGTCTATTGTAAAAATCAGAGGATTGAAGATGATGAATGAGAAAGAATTTGTTCCCACAAGAAACTGTGTAATGGTATTTCTTTCAGAGAATGTTTTTCCCAGTTGAAAAGCAACACATCGAGATGTTACGTGCTAGGTTTCCTCTGCTAAAGTCACTTTTGAATTACAGATGCCAGCCTGGTTTTGAATTGTCCTGCTCTTTTTGCAGTGATATTATCAATGCTCACCATTTTAAACAGAAGTGGGTTTTCAAATATGACTATATGAGCAATTCACAAACAATATATGTCTACCTCCCCTGTATCAGCTTGTGTCTATTTCATCACATAGACCAGATTCTTCTTAACAGATCTGTAGAGCAGATGTATAAATGATTAAAAAAAAACCAAACCATTAAGACTGGCTTTTGTGCTGCAAATATGAATGCATATACTTTTCCAGCACAGTCAGCCAGCCTCCCATGGATCCTGTAAAAGTAAATACTAGTATCTCCTCTCACCATCACCAATATCAGCTCTTCAGCCTCCAGACTGTGCTGAAATAAAGGTTGCACCAGGCAAAAGAAAGATATTTCAACCCTTAAGTGGCATAACTTATGCACAGTATGGATGATGTAGATGCATTGCTGAACATTCAGTTAGCTTATTAAACAGAGCTCCTAAAGTGGGCACCACAAAGCAAACATTTGCACTCCAGAAGAGTCAGTGAGTTACAGATTTTCCTAGACAACCTGACTTTCAAAAGCCTGTTAGATGATGCTGAAAGCACATGAAAGATGCAGTCTTCTCAGGGTGTAAAACATTACAGTACAGGATGCACTGGCTCCTTGCACACCTCTCGCATGAAAACACACCTGTCACTTAAAAGCCTGAAAAGTCCCATCGTGCTGCCCAGCAAAGATGAAATAGTACACCTGGGCAAAGAGGGTGCCTCCTGTGAAGCAGCAGCAGCCCTGTTTCCTGCCTGTGACTGCACTCGGGTCCCTGCAGCAAGAGAGGATGGGAGGGACGTGGCTCATGCCTCACAACCCGCCAGGGCCACCTGCACCTCTGTGGGCCCCGGGGCTGCCCCTGCCACTTCCCCCACCCCGGGAGCCACTGAGCATCTTTTGAGGGGTCCCAGGCTGAAAAGAGATCAGGGTGCTGAGCTCCTGTCAGAGGGTCTGCTACCAGCGAGCACATCCCATTATCCCAGCTTCTGATCTCTGGCATTGGTCCATAGCAGAGGCCTCACAAGAAAAAAGAAAGAGTAGAAAAATTCAATAACCCCATGATACATCAGTTAGTCCCACATATAGACCCCCACGACCAGATGCCCTCAAACAAGCCCTGTGATTAGCACACTCCTGCTTGCAAGTTCCTTCCACCAACTGTCCCCTCTCACCGAATTCTCTCTCCATCATCTTGTAGCTGGGTTTGTAGAAGTTGTCACGTTACCTAACACAGCACTGTTGCTATGCCAGAGAAGATTTAGCCATGGAGGTCAGCTTAGTGCAGTGGAGAAATAGCCCCCGAATCAACAGCAATATGCAAGCACTTAAAGTTACTGTTCTTCTCGATACCTTGCTGACTGCGGCCCTAAATGTGCAAGTCTGTTTCTAATGAGAAATGAAAATGCTATTCATCATAAGGGCCTTGGTTTTTTTATTGACAAATAAAAAGGTTTTTTTGATCAAATGGAGAATAATCAGAGTTTTCTGTCTCTGCAAGTAAGATTACTTCTGTGTCGCGCAGCAGCTTCCAAGCAGCACCCTCAGGACTGCAGCCCTCACCCTGCCAGGCAGGAGGATCCAGCTCATAGGGGCCTCATTTGTGTAAAGGGTATTTTGTATTTTTTAGGCATGGTTTTGGGTCACATATATATCCACCCTGCCTCTGAGTTGTAAATTCAACTCTCTATGCAGCTTTACACAGAACAAAATTAACCCATTTAAAAGTAGCCTCTTAAAAGTACTAAGATACTTCAGTGCATTTTAAAAGGTATTCATTCCATCTGTTTCTCCATTTAAAGAGAAATAAATATCCTTTGTGACGTCAAACCGGAAACATTTTTTCCTGCTATGCAAAGTTAAGGTCATAGGAATTCTTTTGACAACAAGTGGGTTTTTTTTATTTCTTGGTCCTTTTTTCTTTGCATTATTAGTAATTTCAAAACTTGCTAATATTTTGAGCCTATAAAAGTTAGGGAAAATGTTTTTTTTTTAAATCTGGATCTTATAAAGTGCCATTTTTGTATGAAAAATTCATGTACAAAATGACAGTAATGAAACCTCCAGAAGAGAGCGGGAGAAGCAGCAAAGTGTGAGCTTTGGCTGATGGGATGTCTCCATCATTTTGCAGCAGGTGGGCTGCCGACTTCAGCCCTCTCGTGACAATCTCCCCAGCTCAGTAGCAGCAGAAACTGCACAGACACATTCTTTGCTTTGCTTATTTTTTTTAAAACTAACATAGATGAACACTTTACAATGCAGTCATTTACCTCAGAGATGCTGTATGAATGTGCTGTGAATGAAGATGATGAGGAACACAGTATTGTTTTTCTCAAAGCTCTGTATCTTTGCTGAAATGAGAGAGATGGGAATGGGAAGCACTTCAATGAAGGATCTTGGCCATGCTTTTTTTTTTTTTTCTGTCCATTCAGATGCAGAAGTGAGAAGTGAATGGACATGGACCAAAGCCCACACAGAGAATTAGAAACTGATTTTTTTATATTATGGCGATCTGCACAATTACATGTGCCATTATCATCTACAATCAATAATGAATATATTACCCTGCTAAAGCCTAAACAGCAAGACAGTGTGTAATTAGGGCAGAGACTAAGGCCACGGACATGCTCATGAATAACAGAAATAAGCATATCTATATATGCTCTATTTGTTTTATGGAGACATAAGCTAGAAGAAAAATAACGGCGGTAGTGGAAACCCATGTAAATTTTCAGTATCTGCATAGGTATTTTTTGTTTGTTTCTTTTTTAACCTGAGCAAATTACTGGAACTTCTCTTGTAGACACTCGTGTCCTCTAGGAGAGTGAGATAGAAATTTAATACCTGTCAAGCAAAGAATGTCCTTGGACTAGTATAGGCACTTAAACACAGGGAAAAACTCACCATGGCATAAATAAGGTACATGAAGGTCTGAGAGCTGCTGACTGTGGACAATCCCTAAGGCATGATTCAGCTGAAAGCCACATTCATCTGGTCTTCACACGGTTCTGGAAATAAAGAATTTCAGAAGCAGTCATTAAAGGCCTTGATCTCTAAATGTATTCTTCATCTGTACCTTCAATACTACAGCCAACATTATCCTGCTGTCAGCAGACAATGTATCACAGGTCAGTTTAACAACTCCACACAGTGGCAGAGAGACATAATTGACCTAGAGGTCTCATCTTCAACAAGAATTGCACCCTGAGCAAAAACCAGCAGCAGTTTGAGAGAATATGTAAGACGTGTCAAAGAGATATGAGAATTAACCTGTGGGCCTTACATGAAATAATTAGCCTACATCCAGTCTGCCACATGTTTTAATAGATCCACTGTAAAATTGCCATCATCCCAAGCCCTCCTGGCTCTGAAGAGACAAAGGTGGTATGTGCTATAGTTATCTCTGTAGCTTTACAGCTGGAGATAATGATAGTACTCTGAATTATGGGCAAAACTTGACATATAAATTGGAAGAAATAAGAATAGAAATAGAAATAATAGAAATAGAGCTAGAAATAGGAGAAATAGGTGGCAGAGCCCAGAGGACCATTGCTGGTAGAAGAAGAGCAGTGAGATGTATGTGGGATAAACACATCCCACATAATATCCCACATCCCACAAAATAATTTCTTCATCCAGGAGATGTACAACATCCATGGTCTCAGATCTGCTCTCAGCTCGCTCCAGACCAGAAATGCAACGGAAGGGATATGAGGCATCACCACAGCTTCCTCTTTAGCTTTTCTGGCAGAAGTTGTCTGGAGAAAACACTAGTTAAGGGAACTACACTCTCCAACAGAAGAAAAGTAGAGCAACTGCAAGATGTAACAGAGGAATTCAAATACCGTACAGGAACTGAAATGGAAAATGGCTTTACTTCAATAGTTCAGGTTCAATTTCTGCCTTTAGGTGAACTGCAGTTCCCAAATTCCCTCTAAAAGCTCTCTCTGAAGAACAGACTTAGAAAAATGTCTCCAGTTCTTTCTCTCCTCCTGGTGTCTTTTGTATCCGCTGTGCCTCACATGGGATGTCCATTGAGCATCTCTACTCCCAGAGGAGATTAAGATCCATCTCATTTCCCATCTTGGCTGACTACTGTTAATATAAACACACTTTAGCAAAATAGTGAGACCCCTACTGAGACCATGTCCCATGCAGTTCAACAACAGATGTCTTGCAAGACTGTGCAAATTAATGTAGCGCACACAGCGCAGCAAAAAATCCATATAGGGCACCGGGAAGTGATGCATTTGCTCCCCTTGCATAATTTTTTGTTTAGGAATCTGTGGTCTGACAAAGTCCTGCTTTAGAGGTGTAAGATTTTGGTTGACTTTGTGGTGTTTCTGAAACCAGACCTTATGGACAAACCATCGTGCATTGCATATTTTATACTGGGATTTGAGTTTTTTGAGAATACTCATAGTTTTTCCACAATATGAAAAGCAACTTTCTTTTTCTCACTATGTCTGCCCTTCTTCCTCCTTGCACATGCTTTTCTGTGTTCATATTTGAAGGCATGTCAAATTACAAATTCTGCATTAGAGAAAATTTATTGGAGTAAAATAATTGCCAAAATTCAGGTGGTCAGCACCTCTTCAAACCAGCCTGTACATCTCTAAAATATAAGCATTTTGTTGAAACAGTTGTTGTTTACCCTGCGTTTGTGGTCCAAAATATACACTTGAGAGTCCAAGACATTTTTAAAAGCATTAGCTACAATTTAACTGGTAATCAGTTAAATGAGGGCTTATAAAAAAGATACAGCTGTAAAGCTTTTCAAAGTAGCCCTTGGGAACACAAGCTATAGTATTGCAGTTTTCCCCTCAATTTCACAAACTGCCATATGTTTAGTTTATAATAACTGCTTTAAGTAATTTAAAATGAAGGCATTTGGCTCCCACTGATGCTATGTAATGCTATTTTAATAAGAGCAAGTGCAGTTTAGAACATGGACCAGTGTAACTACATGACTCTGAATGACAGGCTCCGTGTGCGAGAATTTTCTCTCCTATTAATTTCACACTTTCTCACCTCATGTCCCTGGCTTGGCCCTGTTTAATCTTGTAGCAGTAGTGAAATATTATCTGGACAACTGTGGCAATTAAATTAATTTTAAGCCATTTAGAACGCTATGATCTGCAGTATCTATTATTCTTTTTTCTCTGCCCACTACTTTCTAACTCACCTGTTGTGCTTTTTTTTCTTTTTCTGACCATTTATACCTCTTTTCACATCCTCACCATCCATCATGATGCCCCACATAAAAGCTCACTTATCCTGATATACAGTTCGATTGAAAGCCTTCCTGGGGCAGCTGGATTCTCCTTGGCTGACACTTTCAACTGGGTAACTGCACTCTGACAAATGAGTGGCAGCCTGTAGGACACAATTCCTCTGCCATCTCTGCAGCAAAGTCAGTACCAGTGTGGTCCTCCCCCATAAGCAAGATATCTACCTTACATACCATTTAATTTTCCTTCTCTAGGCTTCTGGTACAAAAATAACTTCATAGCCAAAATAGATAATCTATAAATGCTAGTAATATAGAAGAAAATGGTAAAATATGTTGAAAAGACAAAAATCAGTGTAATAACATAACTATGAATGAGGAGAAGGTTAGGTGAAATGTCTGCGATGCAGAGGAAGTGGACTAATGTTTTTATCTTGTATCCCTCAAGTCTAAATTTCCAAACAATGCAAAAAAAATATATATATTCTGACCTCTAAACTCTTTTCTTTTCCTTTCTCTTAGGGCTTACTTGTGGCAACTATATTCTGTTTCTTCAATGGCGAGGTAAGCACGTGAAATACAGCAAATGAACAGAACTTGAAAAATAGTCACTTTGTTGTTCATTAATGCAGAAATTAAGCATGTCACCCTACAATCTTTGAAACCACACAAAGTCACTTTTTACTCTTTATATACAAGCAGCAGTGTGTGTTTTTGAAAGCTCTGTGCAGAGCGTGACTTGAATATCTCTGAAGAGATGAATCAGGAGTGTTACCATTGCGAAGCAGATGGCACCAAATGAGGTACAGGCATTAGACCCTCCCCCTACCATCTGCAATTTTGAGACAGAGGTCTAAGTAAAGGAGAAAAATGCTGTACTTCTCTTCCTGCCCCAGAATAGTGGGATGGATTGCCTGGAAGGAGCACGATGCCCCATAAGAAGCAGTGGGGATCCTCAGGGGTCTGTCCTGGAGAGCCGTGTGCTGCGTTCAGCCCCAGAGCCGTGGCAGATGCCGTCCCCGTAGCACTGTCAGAGCAGAGGAGCCTGGAGGAGTGCGGTTACTTTCACTCCTTTGAGGATTAGCACTGGCCTTTTTAAGGTCAGTGTTTCTCACATAGTAATTGAGCAACAAAAGCCCTTGAGGCAAAGATGTCTCCCGTTCTCTTACAGCTGGATCAATATTTTATATACCTACAGCTGGTTTTATGTCCACTTCACTACATTTTTTTTTTTTTTTACAAAAAAATAGCTGGTTAAAATATGTCAAGAACCATTTAAATTCCTACAGTAAACCATTTTCCAAAGATGGTTAGCAGAAAAATGCTTTTCCAATACATCAAAGCATTCAACTGTAGCAAAATAAAACACTGCATACCTTAGGAAAGATAGAAAGTCCTTTAAAGAGTTAATTTTGAATCCAGAGCAGATGAATTAGGTACAGAGCAAGCTTTGTGATGCTACCACTCAGTATGCCAGCCTAAAAAGATATTTGTGCTCCTGTTTATCCCTGTATATTATTAGAAAGCAGCAAATTCCCAGTAATGATGTGACCATGCTGATGTTTTGATAGCGACTTGAAGCAAGTTATCTATTAATAAGGTGCTACTGGCTGGTTTGCTAACTTTTGGGATGGCAGAGAGTATTAAATTCTGCCACCACTCGTCGACATCACTAGACATTTGCTTCTGGCTGGCTTGCTGCGTAAATGTACAGAGAAATGCAACAGTAGAAAAGATTAGAGGCTTCCCACTGTAATCCTGTAGCATGGCTTCTCAGGAGAATGAAAGAGAATGGCAAAATGCAAGCAGTTAATAACAGCAGAACCTAACATTTAATGATAGCTGTAAAAATCATGCTACAGGAGTTGATGGTTTCATGGGTCTAATTAAAAAAAGCTGGAGAGACGTACAACTATTTTTTTCATATCACATTTCTGTCCCCTGCAGGATCTGCAGGCTACTACCACCTTTCTCCTTTTCCCTTACTGTCATCACTTTCTCGCACAGTCCGGTCTCCATGCCCTGGAAACAAGGAAAGACTTCTGATTCTCCCTGGTAGGGAGGACCTGGCATGGAGAAAGCAGAGACCAGCCAGGCAATTTTTGAAATATCCTTTCCCTGTAGGAATGCCTGGACAGGCGGTGCTCCAGTGTGTCATCACCTCCAAACAATGTGTTACCCCAAAAGCCTGGTCTTGAACATTGCCTTCTTCCTTATTCATTCTCCCCAACGTCATCTTCCATTTTTTTCAGATTAGATTTTGCAAAACAAATTTGCTTTAAGTTTTATAGCTTTAGAATAAAAGGTCAATTACTCTGTAATTCTCCAACCCTAATGAGAACATATGGATTTGTGCCTAGAAAGGCTGTAGCAATGCTAAAAATGAGGCAAGGCAGCAAGAAAATGCACTGAAAATATAAAGTATCTTAAAGGCTGTTTGCTTCTTAGGTATGCTTCATCAGATAGCTCTAATTCCAAAGTACTTTTGGCAATGCCACAATGTCAGAGAAGCATATCCACCTTTACAACTCCAGGAATACAATTTTCAAGTTACCCAATGATGAATAGATCTGGAGCATCTGCTTGCCAACATCATGGCAGACCACGTGTATCATTTAATTCAAAATTAGATGGCAGGGTACGAATGAATTTACCTGTCATATGTACTAACCTAGAGTGCGCTAGGCAGAAAACCAAAAGCCACATTCCAGGAGTGAAAATTAGTCTAAAATAAATATGCAGCTCTCTTTTGTTCATTAAGTATTGTATTACATTAATTTAGAATTCAGAATAAATATATTTGGATTAAGAAAATACACCATATTCATACATGATATTCAGATGTCCAGCCTCAGAGACACGCACTTTGTGGACTGCTGCACTGACTGAGCTGCTGTTAGGAAGCTGCAGTAGCAGCCAGACATTCCTTATGTGACTGAAGATGCATGGTCTGGATACAAATCCTGAATAACAGCAATAGTCACCAAACCCCTGGTTGCCTCTGACAGCCTTTTTGACACATCTGGCAGCCCACAGCAAAACAACTTCTTCCTTGTGAAAGTGATATCCACTTTTGATACTTGAATTGTCAGCGACCCATCACTAAGGGGACATATTTGGAAAGGATGATGCCCAAAACGAGATAAAAATGAATCTGATATTGAAATGTGGCTTGCAGGTTTGTAGTCTATTGCTCCCATAAGTGATCACATGGATGGCTTAACTACCTCAGAGCAGCTGCAGACTGCGTGTAGGATTAATGACTCCTTGATGGAGTGGCTGATCAGAAACATTCATCAGTGTCAGGCAGTAAGAACAAACAGCTGTTGGGATTCACGTTTCCCAGACATGTTGAGTGTGATTTTTGTTGATGTTTGGGTACTTTTCACCTTTACACCCATTTTTAAAATTGTTGTATCTGCTGCAGACTTGCAGACTGTCTAACATGGTCAATGGCAGGGATGTTAAGAAACCCTCTCATTATTTTCTTATAGGAAATTTTATTTAGTGGACAATAACAGAAGGTTTTTTTAGAATTTCCCATTAAGTGGGCAGAGAGCCAAAGATGACACCTCTCTAATATAGACTCAAGACAGTTCGGTGCTACTTGCATCAGCACAATACCAATAAACATCAACCAAGTTTATGTACTGGAGTAGCTGTGCTGGGCTGCGCCAGAAGAGAGGATGAAAGGATTATGACCCCTTTCCTCCAAGTCTATTGATTCGTGCAGTTACACAAGGTGTAGATATATAAGGCACAACACCTATAGAAGAACAGCAACAGACTAATGCCAATATGGCATTAGGTCCTTCCAAAGGGAGTGCTGGTCTGAGTTTGACTGCCCAGGAGAACTAAGCGGAACAGTCTTGCTGTGTGCAGTATGACAGACCAAAGCCACAGTCTGGTCTTCAGACATGGTAGGAGATTGTTTCCAAGCCGCTGTATACATCTGCTCCCATAGAGCTCAAAATTATTTCTCATGAGAAAATTCAGTGTGGAGCAAGGAGATTAATTTTAGTACCACAGGAGCCTGGATACTCTGGGATTTACTTTTTCCTACTGGAATATTTAACTTCAAGGCTGAAATACATGAAGTTTAGCCAGGACAAACAATGCTAAACTCAGTACCCCCTGACAGTGTTTTACATTGCATTCATCACCTACTATCTCACCAACCTCACTTTAGTACCATAAGCCCATCTATAGAAAGAAATGTAAAAATAGTAATAAGAAGCTGTACTGATGCCTGCATTCATGTGGAAGAACACATAAACAATGGATTTGGTTTGGACTTTTAAAATGAGAGACCTTCCTGTGCATTTTCATATAAAATCTCAGTGTCCAGCAGCACTGTAGTTTCTCTGTCCAACGACAACAGTGTTGTACAGATGATACAAGGTCTCTGCAATAGTCTGCTCACCAGACCATATTTCCAGGCCTGAGATTGCTTCTAGACTGCAAGGCTGGCCAACAAAATGGAAAGTCTGTTTGGAAAAAAAACAGCCATATATCTTGTGTGCCAAAGAGGCATGAATGGCTAATAGAGAACAGAAAAACCTTTTAAGTTCTGAAGAGCAGAGTAAATAAACTCAGGCTCTTCATTTCTTTAGACTTTACTTTCTTCCATCTGCTATCACAGCGGAAAGCATGGCAGGCATCGCCCTGCCTCTCCCAGTCTCCTGGGAGACTCCAGGAGCCTCCTTGGTCGTTAATATGTTATGGCTGTGCATGTGATTTTCAGTAATGCTGCTTACACATTTAAAATCCATGCATGAACAGTTTTAGTTGGCACTAAATTATGATCATCTGAGATCCTTGGAATGATGGCAGAAATCTAGATTAACACATTGTTTTACTCAAGTACAGCAGCTTGTACTATCCATTATCCGTTTGTGGCCAGATTCTTGCACAGGCCAGCAGTTCAGTGGAGAATAAAAACACGGCTGCTTTGACCTCATGCTCTCACTGCTCCGTGGAGACTTTTAAACTGGACTAATGGCACTTCTCATCATGGGCTGAACTGGAAAGGATGTACCTGTTCTCTCCCCAACCAGACATACAATTTAAGTGTCACTCCCTTCTGAGAAGAAAACTATGAGCTCCTCACGGCAGGCTTTGTAAGACTCAGTGACATTGTTCTTCCCTCTTCAGTTAACCATGTTATCATCTCCAGACCTGTGGTTGGCTGTCAGACTCCAGTTCAACTGAGAGCAGTTTGAGAGCTCAGCAGGAGCTCATCACCTTCACAGCAGCTCTTCACCCCATGCAAGAGAGATCAAAGCCTTGAGGAGTATGCAGGGGGCAGGGGAAGGGGGGCTAGGAGAGGAAACGGAAGGCTGTAAGAGCGTGTTCTTGCCACCTTCACTAAAGACGCTGAGATTAATCTGAGTGGATGAACTGCTGTGAAATGCAAACACAGTCAATACTTAGGGGAAGAGGTGATGGCCAGGGGTACCCAGTGGCTACAGGCACTAATGACTGTGGTGGTGGTGGTGGAGAGATGGCTGTGGGCGGGTAGAGCTGCTGTGCACATCCAAGATTTCTGCATTATCCTCATTGTGTCTCCAGCTGTAGGTTACAGGAGCCACTGCCCCAGTGTGATATTGGGGAAAGTCACTGACTTAATCCTTCTGAAGATTTCTTCTTCCAGTTCCTCCCCATAGCTTCTAGGACGACTAAGCTACAGTATTCATACTATAACATCAAAAGGCAATTTTAAAGTGACTAAAATCTTTACAGGGTTTACCTCATATGTAATATTTCTGTATCATGTGCTACAACTGCATTACTGTTGCATGCAGTAATTCTTTCTCACTAATTAACTTTGGCAATGGTGTGATATGCAACATCCCTGTATGCAGCCATTTCACTTTAAATCTCAATATTGGCATAGTAAGCTTTGCTTACAGCCCCTGTAATTAAAGTTCCATTGTAACCATATGCCTTTTCTGTGATGGATATCTAATTAACCTACACTCAGCTATTTATTTTCTTTTCTTTATGTGTTAGGAGAAGGTTAATAGGAATACATTTCTCCAGATTAAAAGAACTCTTAAGTACTTTGTCTTAAGCTAAACAATAGCAAAAAAATAGCTAGTGTTGGAAACTGGGCATGGATATAGTTTTCAGTTAGTTTTAAAGGGCTAGTCCAGCAAACGTTTGTTTACTCAAGAAAGTAGTCATACCAAAGTCAGTGCAACTACTTGCATGAGTAAGGATTTATAGCATCAGTCCTCATACCTTGGCTTGCGTCTTGGATTAAAAATAAAAAAACAAAGCAATTGAAATAGCCACTCTTGGCATGCTGCATAGTTGTGCTGTACACTCAGTAAGCATCTCAGATTCATAACAATTCCTTATGAAGTCTTGTCCTTATGTGACATGAAACAGCTTTCTTGCAGGCAGCTGTGGGTGGTGAGTAGATGACATTTTACTATCTACATATTAATAGAGTGATTAGAATTGTGGAGACTTGGGAAATATTAAAGTCATTCAGATTCATCTATATGAATCAAGATATTGTTCTACACAGAGCCTAAAGGGTGACTTCAGACTACTCTCTGAGTGAAAGTGACTGACATACAATGTCCACCTCAGCAGGAGCACGGAAACTCCAGGACGCTCCTGTCATCACAGTGCCTTACCTGGGCCTGCCTTCCTCTGGAGGGATGGTCATTTACAGCAGATTATTACAGCAAACTGCTCCTGTTCTCACATTTTGCTCGCTGGAATAGCTGAGCTGGAGGAACAGAGCCAGGGTTTGCCCATTCCCTGCTTTGGGAAGGAGCTAGTGAGTGCCAGCATGCCTGAATGTGCAGCTGGAGAAGGGTTTCTTATTCCCTGGCAGGACTCAATAGTTTAAGTCATACCCTAGCTCCATATATAACATCACTCCTAATGTAAATGTTGAATAAAATATTTTATTCCTAGAAGACGAATGTCCAAATGTTGAAATTCTCTGCTACGCAGAGGGCTATGACCAATGCTGGTTTTTTGCCAGCACAGAACCTCTTCTTAAATTACTGGAACAAAATCTCTGTTTAGCTGTACTAATCCTCTAACTCTTTCTCTCTACAAAATTAGCCCTGACAAGCTCTTGAAATGTACTTACACTTTGCCATTCATGGCCAGTTTTACTCAAGGTTAAGTTTCTTCAGGGATCACAATGTATTAGCCATTCCAGGGGCAAAGATCCAGCTGTAGCATCAGATGGGTTTTAATCCCCATCCCTCCTTCCTCTTCCCTCTTCTACCACAGCATCCTACTGTGTTCCCATGCAACAATCTGTTCCACATTTACCTCTTATGGGAACAGCTAACCCATACCTGCTCCTCATAAGCAGCAACAACTGCAGAAACTCTAATTGCTGCCGTAGGGTAGGCAGGGAGGGAGTTAAGGCCGAGAGCTGAGCAACAGCTTCTGCTTCTGGAGCTGGGAGCAGAGTGTAGGAGAGAGGCAGACTGAACCTGATGGAATTAGACCTGGAGCTTTTTCTCTTTTCTTTTCTTTTCTTTTCTTTTCTTTTCTTTTCTTTTCTTTTCTTTTCTTTTCTTTTCTTTTCTTTTCTTTTCTTTTCTTTTCTTTTCTTTTCTTTTCTTTTCTTTTCTTTTCTTTTCTTTTCTTTTCTTTTCTTTTCTTTTCTTTTCTTTTCTTTTCTTTTCTTTTCTTTTCTTTTCTTTTCTTTTCTTTTCTTTTCTTTTCTTTTCTTTTCTTTTCTTTTCTTTTCTTTTATTTTTCACTGTGACATAAACGGGCAGTTTCTCTTCTGTGATACATAAGTGAAATGAAGAGTTAGCAGATGTGGCTTGTACCCATAGAAAGGCATGGAAGAAATCAGGGAGGCTTTGGGGATGAAACCCCTTTGAGAGCAGCTTGGGAAAGCCTGGGGCATTGCTCCACAGTGTGTCCTACTCTGCAAGGAAAAAACCATGACCCCCTCCCCAACGTCAGCATGGGGCCCCATGGTATGGCCGGTCACATTGCTGGGTTCAGGAGGGGCAAATTTGGCTCAGAACTCCCCCAGACGAAGGCAGCCATGGGGACAGGCACAGAATCCACCTGGGAACAGGGCAAAGCAGGTCTTAAGCATCCCTTCCCTTCCCTTCCCTTCCCTTCCCTTCCCTTCCCTCTTCCCACAGCATATTTAAAAATGTCTACAATTATAGGGGTTTAGATTATGCCTCATTCTAACCATGTTTTTCTTTAACAGGTACAAGGAGCTTTGAAGAGGCAATGGACACAGTACAAAACCCAGTGGGGCCAAAGGCGCCGAGAGCACTGTTCCACACGATCTACCTCCTACACTGCAACGTCTATCACAGAGGTCCCCGTTTACCTGTACCATCATGATTCCAACAACGAACAGTTAAATGGAAGATATGCAGAGGACTCGGAGCTCGTTGCATTAAAATCTGGAGAGACATCTGCCTAGCTCAGCACCAGCCATGGCAAACACATCATTTCACATTCTGATTGTGAACGAAGTGGGGACAAAGGTGGGAATGTGGAAATCCAAGCCACTGCAGGAGAGAACAAGACCAGGTGAAAGGACACATCATATTCAAACCCCATCAGCCTCTGACTGTGATGGCGTAGAGGGAGTCTGATGCAGAGCTGGGAACAGCATTTCTTCCTGTGCATTGCAGCAGGGAGTGAACATGGACCTGCCCACCAGGGTATGTCATCTCCACATCTCCTGATACCGGCTGTATGAAGTTACCATCCCACAGTAGTAACAGTGCCACGTAGCCCATAGCGAATAGGAAAGAAAGAACCAGTACATTGCAATTGGAAACTTTCAGCACTTTTTGCTTTCAGTACTTTTCTAACACTAGATTTTGAACCATCAACTTTCACAAGATGTGACTGGCTTGAAATCCTTTACTTTTCCCCTTTTAATGAGCTTGATGACTTCTTAAAAGATTTTGCACATTTTAAGACAAATCAAATGGATGAACAGAAAAAGAATCACTCCAAAATATTCAAATCTTGATGATCTCCAAAGGATGCCCCAAAACATTACCATCCCCAAAGGATACCCCAAAATATTGCCATCCCATTAACAGGTGCAAAAAACAAATGAAGATTGGAATAGCCATTGCATACCAAGATCTCAAACACCCTCAGAGAAACAGATCAGTTCTTTAGGCTGCCTCAAACAAGTCCTAAAGGCATCTTATAATAGTTTTTGTTTAACAATACTGGTAGTTCAAGAATATTTATTTATAGGAAAAGTTGTCACCCTGTTGCTCTGCCCAGAAACTCATCATTAAGGCACAATTCTTTCACTCTGAATAAACTGTGAAATTTGTTTTGAAATTATAATTTTCTTTGAAAGCCATTCTGAGATGAATGCTAGATGAATGCTTGTCTCTGTTATAAAATTAAAATCACGGCAGTAAAGGATCCCAGGTAAGAAATGAGAAACTAACGTCTTAGCACAGGAAGCATCTATTTTTAGAATCTGGTTGCTGTTCTGAGTTCCTAATTGTTGAAGGCGGTGATTTCATATGTGAGTCTGTCATCAGAAAAACATGATGAATGTACAGTTTCGTGAGTAATAAGCACCTTTTATCACACATTCAAAGCATCATTAGAGTCTTTATGTGATTACTGAGGCAGAAATCAGGTCAGGGAGAAGCTGATTTGCAGTTAGAAGTTACAGTACTGTCACTGCAAAAGTTCTCCAAATCACAAAAGAAATAAAATAGATTAATCTCCCACATGAAGCTAATTGTAAAGAATCTGCAAGCAGCCAGGCCAGTGCCAAGGAAGTTTTGCAGGGCTGTGACTCCCATGGAGTTTTACGCATAAAATGTCTAATGAATATAATGTCATTCCTTCTTGCATCTCTGTGAAAAACTGTCCTACAGATTCCCACTCCTTTACCTTTGGCTAAGAAGTGCATGGGATATTTCAAATGCTAACAACTTCAAGATATTCATCACAGTCTTTAACTTTGAGGGAAGCTGGAAAGTTATCAGTCCCCCTTTGTTTTCCCTGCTATTCCACTTGCATCTGACGCTTCAACCCCAGCCCAAGCAGGAAGACGTGGTCAGAGGAGGAGGCAGCTGCAAGTGCCAGTGGTGACACTTGCTCATCTCCAGTGTCTAAATACCAGCCCTGACCTGGGAGTTGTAAAAATACTGCCCTAGGTGAATGGGGAGAGGCAGAATGGCATCCTTTATACTGCAGTTGCATTCATGTGGGACTTCTGCTGCTGCTGTAAAATTTCTTCCTTTCCTTCATTTGCTTGCTGCGGTTCCATCCATAATGATTTTTCTCCTTAGCATTGCATAAGGTACTTAAAATATCATGGCTTAGAATAGTCTTAAATCCAGATCTTGACAGATAGTAAAGGAGAATACAAAAACTGAAATAAGGCACTTGAGCTAAATGTCAGTTCTTTTGAGGGAACTTCGGAGGTTACAGACAGAGGCCCTAACCCTGCAGGTGTGTTGAGGAAGGACCGCAGAACAGTCTGTATGTCAGAAGGTAAAACACACTTTAGAGAGTCCCATAGAAGGAGATCATAAACTAGTCCTACCATAAACCTTGATAATCTATTTCAGATTCTATTGAAAATAGCAGACAAATCCCTGTTGACTTAGATGAGCGGTGAACAACTCTCTTCAATGTTCAGGAATGACTTACGCAATACAGTTTGGCGTAGAGCTTGAAAACAGGAGACAATTTCATCCTTAGAGATTTAAAACCATTTTTAAATATTCTGTTCAGCCAGGCTCAGTTATTCCTTCACTGACACAGATAGACCCTAAGCTTTACCCTTCATTTGTAAATTTTAAATGGAAGGCCGCTGTACATGTCTACCTACACAAGTTACTGTCTCATTGGAAAAGTCCCTTCCAGGAATGAGTTTGTGAGGGATAGGCATGAATCCAGTGCTACGAGAGGGGACCAAATTCCCACTATCCATACATGAGGCAATGCCTTGGAGGGAAGGAGTTTGCTCCTTTTGTGCCACCAGCACACACACACAGCCACTGTGCACCACTGAAGCTTCCTCCCCAATGTGAGGAGTGAGCTGCCGGCGCTGCGATCGTAGAAGAGAAAGGAGCGGGGGAACAAGAACTAACTGTCTGCCAACAGTGCGGATCATCGCATGGTTAATCCAGTGGAACATTTACAAGAAAATACAGTTGTGTGTATTTGTTCAAGCCACATACCTATTTTTCAGACTTCAAAGAATATGAAGGCGGTTATTTTTTCAGACAACAATATTTCGTGTATTGCTATTTCTTCTTTTACCAGTGAACAATGGGAAGTGGCGGATTTAGTCATTAAAGACAATAAAGTCGCTCTGCTATGAATGCTGTATTTCTGAATAGCTTTGGGGCACACTGCACTTCCTGGGAGTGCTCCAGAAGGCATTCCTAGTTTCTAAAGACACAAATGAACTGATTGTAAAAGAAGTGTGCATAATATGGAGAGTTTAATAATGAACATGTTGGTTTTAATAATGTACATGTTTACAACATGTAAGTGAAAGTTGTTTCACAGTCTATTATGTTCATGTGGATGTACAAAATGGAAATGCTTTGCCATTCTAGTGGTTGTTTTCTTTCTTCAGTAATGATATTTTCTTCCTCTGTTCAGTAGAATGTTCTGAAAAGCCAGATTTGGAACCTGGGGTTTAGGATCTCGGTTTGAGCTTCAGGTGGTGGAAACACTGTGGCGTTATGTCAGTCTTTATGGCGGCTTTGGTTTCAGTGGAGTGATGACAATTTGCAGCCACTAAAAATTTGGTCTAATGTACATACTGAGTTTAGGGTTGCCATCACCCTTGGGCTTTGCAGGAAAGGCTGTGTTTTAGAGGTACTTACTGAGTAATTTCTAATCAAAATATTTTCCGATGGAAAATTCTAGTTTTCTTCATCTCAAGATGGTTTGAAATGTTGTCATTGCACACATAAGGTAAATTTCACTTCTCTGCTTTAAAAATAGTAGCATACACTAGTGACAGTAATATTGGGAATGCTGATACGACCTCAATAATTACGATGTCTTGGCAGTAGAGTGTTTTGCCTCTAAAACATTTCACAGGAACAGCAGAAATGCATAATTAATGTACCAGTGTATCAAAAAGTAGGAAAGGAGCTGACACGTGAATCAGTGGATTCAAGGTGTATTTTAAGAGGAAACCAACCTTACATTAATCACCTCTGCAGTATCTGTTTGCTCTCAAACACCACACCCAACAAATGAAAACCCAGTTTAGTGAACCTTTGCTCTGGCAGAAGGGTTTCTGTGGTTGCTTTGTTTGAGCAACTAAATCTGTCAGGACGATGCTGGTTGTTATTCTTTACTAGGTACAGAAACGCAGCACAAATTAAAAGACTTACTGTGGCATGGGATGCTGAAAGTAAGACTTCTTTTTTATTTGCTTTACTTAATAAATATGATTTAGCTGAAATAAAACAGCAACAAAGGTAGAACAGACAATTTTGTCTGTATTAAAATTCTTAGCAACAATGCTACCTTAATTAAAAGTCTGCCAGTATTGCCATTACAAAGTGCACATGTGTTTATAACGTAGCAACATAACTTTGTTTTGGGATAAAACCAACCATGCAAATGTGGTGAATTTCTGTCCTCTTTTCCCAAATTCTCCTCTGTCCTTTGCCAATCTTAATAAACAAAATCTGAGCAATTTTTCAAAGATGCAAATCCTAAACACACAATGTGAAGGTATCTGCATTTCCAGTGCTTGGAATTTTAAAAGTCAGATGTGTCTTCATGAAGCTAAATATGCACAGTTATTTGATTACTGCTCAAAAACAGGAACACTTGAAACCTACAAGTTATATTTGCATTGAAACAGTAGGTGATCCCAAGTCAATGAGACTCTGCAGAGTGTAAGCATGCCCTCTTTGCCCTCTGGCAGCATAGAAGACCTGAGCCAAACCGGGTGCAATCTGGACCCAGTGCTAGCCACGTGGGAAAAAAAAACAAAACAAAAAAGGAGACTTTGCAGCTAATGTTAGTGCCAAACTGGGAATTTTTAGTTCCTGGGCCAGCTGGGTCATTGCAATGTATCATTGTACTTGCTCCAGGAACACCTGCTTCAGAGGGACTTGGCAAAATGAAAGCGAGTCCTACACAGCAAACATCATCAGCCAGCAGTGAGGGAAAGTCAGACCTCCAGCTTGAAATACCACCTCAGGAGGAAGAACGTGATCAGCTCCTTAGTCAACTATCTAGTGAACTTTAAGTCCCTGGCCAGCCCTGAGATTTAGGATGGTGCCAGAGTTATTCTGCTTTGACACCTGTAGTTCTGTGGCAGCTGTAGTAATTAAGGTACCTGTAAGGTTTAATTTCAAAGTATCCTTTTCAGGACCTGCAGATGTTTCTGTGCAGCACCGAATTTTGCAGGTACTTCCAGATGAATCACAGATCTATATCTAAGCACCC